AAGGGGCTATAATATCCGAGACATATTTGACCGGTTTAATCTGGACATTGTCTGGGTCACAGCTGGTGCTGTTTTTTAACTGTGAAATAATGGAAACTACTTCAGCTTCATTAACTGGATGAAAAAAAATAGAACTACTGTTTCGAGATTTTAGATATTTGCAAGCGTCTTCTGTTGAAATCATATTCACCGGGTCAACAAAATAGTCATTGAAGGCATCTGCCAACGAACATTGGGCTAGCCGTGCGCCATTATGAAATATATGGTCAATTTGGCAGTGAGTCTCAGAACGGGCGAGAACCGAGTTTAATATGTTCCATACACGGTCCGTGCGCCCAAAAGTTGCTTTAAAAGAATCAGAGTGGTACCGTGATCTTGCATTTCGTATTTCCTTAGTCAATTGATTACGGTATGACTTGAATATTTTAAGGTTGACTGGGTCTCTTGTTTTAATAAATTTGTCATATGGAACATTTTTTATATGAATCTTACCTAAAATATCTGGTGTAATCCAAGGCTTACGAATGTTCCGTGATATTTTTAGTTTCTTGTAGGGAAATTCCTGTTGGTAAAGTTGTTTTGAAAATATTGATAAAGGTATTATACGCCTCATCGACAGTTTCCTTTTGATACACTGCACTCCAATCCGTATTTGACAGTGTCAGTCTAAAACTCTCCAGGCTGTCAGGTGTTATATATTGTAACTTAGCAGTTTGTTTCATTTTCGGCCTATCTAAACTGTGTTCGTCTACGGATACAAATATTCGAAAGTGATTACTAAGATCGCATCTGACCACGGCAGCTTTCACATTAATAGAAGTGAAATTCGTTATAAATGAGTCGAGTAGTGTTTCTGAGTTTAAGGTGATTCTTGTAGGGCTCGTTATTACATTCATACAACCATTTAATTCAATAGTATTTTTTGGTTCTCTTTGGTGGGAATGATCAAATAACATATTTATGTTGAAGTCGCCTCCACATATTAGGTTATACCGATTCGTGTTTGTAAACATTAGGAATTCTTCCAGAAACGAAAAAAACTCTGAAAATCTACCGTCTGGCAAGCGGTAGAACACTGAGAAAACAGTTTGATTTGCTCGTAAAGAAAGCACTTCGTAATCTTTAGTTGTACAGCAGTATTCCGGGATTGGCTCACAATCGATGCAGTCTTTGATCAGCATCGATACGCCTCCGCCACGAGACCTAGTACAATTCAAGAGATGACTAGTGTACATAGGCAATTTGAAAACATTTATGTCATCGGAGTACCACGTCTCCGACAGCATTACTACATCAAAAAAATTATCAAACTGAACAAAAAAATCTGCAAGATCTGCTATCTTATTTGACGTCGGTTATTGGGAATGGACCCCATTTTCCAATGGAAAGTTTCAGAAAATCATTTATGACTTTTCACTAAGACAAGAGCAAGTTTTGAAACTTTGGCATCGGTTCGGAGTGCTAGTGCCACATTTGGTCGGGGAATGAGCGCTCGGCGATGCACGTTTATTTCTGCGATGTAAAAAACACATTTTTTTTAGGTGACATTGCAGCATGCTACCATTCTAAAAGCAATGAAATCAGTAAAGTTGTGAACGGAAGCAGCATGTTTCCAACTGAAGGAGTTGTGCTTCCAGGTGAAGTGAAGTAACAGTGAGTGTAGACATGTTAGCAGTGTTTTGCTAACTACATAGCTGTGGAGTAGTATTTTACCTGCTTTTTCTAAATTGCAGGATCTTTGAGGATTATTGGGGTCACAAAAGAGGCAGTATGCAGTTTGAGCCATTTGCTTGGGGAGACTATCGGAACGCAAACTATATTTCTGACAGTGCGATTATCGAGCGCCAGGACGCCGTTGAAGACATCTTGTCGTCCGGCTCGACCGCTTTCTCCGACCTGAGGAAGTTTCTGTCACGGATGCCCGACGTGCAGCGTGGACTCTGCGCCATCCTGCACAAGAAGGTGAGCTTCCCCATATTTTAAGCACCCTTTGCACCATAGTTATGTAAGTTTCTAGCAGGCCTCAGTTTCAGCTTTAGAATACTAAAGGCTTTTGGAATGTCGCTTAGTTTCAAAATGGGCGAAATCATTTGCTGAGCTTATTGTTGAATCAAATGAAATCAAGTGAAATATAATTGGGGTTTAATGTTTTCAATATATGGTGATAAACTCTGAAAATTAACCCTCAAGCCAGCTCTGTTAAGACTAGGACGCTGGAAAACCCCAAATGGGACCTGTGTTTGAAAAAAATTGACCGCATCTCCACGTGGTGAATGATGTTGATTGAGGCGAAGCTCTGGTGGTGCTTGTCTGCGTAGACGCTGAGCCGCAGCATGCCGAGCCTTTCGTTCGTTTTCGTCCATGTCAGAAAGAAAATGTGTGGTATGGAACGTGGTTATATACACATTTGAGCATTTGACCGCAGCGCCCTCTCGTCTATAAACGTTGAGCCAATGCATGCAAAGTTTAACCCGATTATATGCACATTTGACCGCAGCGCTCTCTCCTGTATAGACGTTGAGCGGCTACATGCAAAAAGTTTCATCCATGACATCCCCAGCTCTTAGGTTACTACTACATCTCACCTCAGAGCCCCCTACTCGTCCCGCAGTCGTCGACGAGTGGTTAAGGCGATGGACTAGAAATCCATTGGGGTCTCCCTGCACAGGTTCAAATCCTGTCGACTGCGCAAACATTTTTTTTTTTTTCATCATTTTTTTTTGCTTTACTTGAACATGTGAGCACATGAGCTCACGAGCACGAGCACCAGCAAGGTCGATGTGAGCACGGACGCGGGACGGATAAGGCTAGACCCTAAGGAGCTTCGCCCCTAAAAGGAAAGTTTAAGCTCGCCGGAAGGAAACCTCTATCTACAGCTCCATTTTGCGTTGACCCAAAACTCAGCCCGGACTGAACTGCCCGCGAGGGCCGCTTCTTCCCTCAGGGAAGCTGCCCCTCATCTCGCCTGCTTCTCTTATCGGTACAGGAACGTTTCCCAAGCATGTTCAGGTCACACGCACATTCCCTGGAGGTCGCCAAACCACACGCCCGTCTCCCGTTTTCTTCAACACGAGCCCCAAAAAGCTCCCATTTTCTTTTTACAGCGGAGCTGTTAAGGGCTGGGTTCCCCAGGATCGAGTCAGTGTATGTCGACACAAACCTACCTGTACAGCTACCGCCATCTATAAGCGACGGCGCAAGCACACAACCAGTATGGTTTCCGCCGCCGCTCGTAGATGGCGGCAACCTTTCCAGCTATAATAGAAAAATGGATAGCTGGGCGCGTTGGTGGAAATTCATTGTAGGAAACAGCGTGGAAAACAGACGACGACGAAGAAAAAGCACACAATGTATCGAGTACAGCTCCACTGGTCTTTTTTCTTCACGAGAGTGGAAAGGCTGAACGATTTTGTCCGACATCGATAAGAGACGTTGAAAACCATTAAATGCCTGGGGAAAAATGGACTCGGGAAAAAAACCAAGAAACCTCAAACTAAAAGGAACAAAAGACTCGTTGAAGATGGGGAATTTTATTTGTAGCCATATAACCTGCTAGCGTTATTTCCAAACGGTAAAAAAAAGTTGCCTGACTGAGGTATTTTGTCGTGTGCAACAAGGGTGCAAGAGCACTTGATGGGTTTTTAACGAGCGGCACTTTGTATCCCCGCTGCATCTAGTAGATGTATCCCTGCTACATTTAACGGTAAATTGCGATGTCACGGTGGGTGACATCGTGACAGCATGATGATTTTCTCGGGAATTAAGCAATGCCACGTAACCTGATATTGTGTGATGTCACGTCATGGACATTGTTACCGTAATATCCCCAGTCATTGCCCCATCCCCGAGTCATTCCACATCCCACTTTTTGGGCAAATATCGATTTCCACAAAAACACAGAGTAATCGCCCACCGCTACAAATACCCCAACGCGGAGTCAGCGATCCACAAACATTCAACCTACCCGAACGACGCGGCCGTGGACTTTACGGTTGGAGGGTGTCCGTGACAAAGTAAAACGAAGGAGGGAATAACATTTCACTTTGTTTACGCATTTCCTCCCCGATTTCCCGATTTCTGAGACTCCAAAATCGGAGTGCATGCATAAAAAAAAAAAAAGAGATGGAGATAAAAAAAATAAATAAATAAAACTTTGTTTTTGCTTTCAAAAAAGTTTGTTTGAACAAAAAAAAAATTGGAAAGATGGCAAAAGCAGTAAACCATTCAGGGATAGTGAAGTCAGCAGATGCCCCATATCCTGGAATGTAACTGCAGAGTGTAAGGTCAGAGATGTAAAATCAAGATCTGTTTCCACTGAAATAAGGTCACCGCAAAACTTGCTCCTTCCCCCGGAACGTCGCGACAGCGGTTGGTAAGGTTGTGCAATGTTTGAAGGGGCACTGATGTCCCAAAGGTCGTATTTATTTTGTTGTCTAAAATGATGCAAGTTGTAGTTACAGTTGAACCTTGCTACAACGAAATTGACGGTGCGCAAAAAAAATTCGTTGTAGCGAAAATTTTGTTGTTTTGAAATTCACAAAAAAATGGCATGCAAAATGGCATACAAAAAATGGCATACTGGTAGAGTACAAAAATCTGTACAAACCAGGTTTCATAGCCCTGTGGAGCTCTTCGTGCGCCAACGGTGTCAGTTTCTTTCGCTTGGCCGATGTCTCTGGTGCAAGAGCATATTCAATTGCATCTTTCGACTTTAGGATCGTTAACAAAGAACTCGGAGAAATTCCGAACTTTTTCGTGATGACAGCTTTTTCCTATTCACTTGCAACTTCGGCCAGGGTGCGAGCTTTATCTTCTAAAGATAAAACCTTCCCCTTTTTCCTGACGGTACCACGCCCAAAAAGCCTGCGTATTGTGCTGACAAAAGAACTGCCAAAACAAAAAAGGCGACTGAGCTTCAGCTTTGGATAATCTGGAGCAGAGGATTATCAAGCCAAAGCTAGGGTGCAACCAACATTGGTGCAACAGCGAAGGAAGGCCGGAAAGGCCAGCCTCATCGCCGTTTCCATCGAGTAATGGCGCCATAATGGAAAACAGCGCAAAAGGGACAGGACACAAAGTAGAAGAAGGACACAGGACATACGCTGACTAACAACCAAAGGTTTACTAGAACTTCCACGTTAAAGGCCGGCCCGCAAGCAGAGAGAAGGAACCCGACCCTCACTTTCCTTCTCGCCACTGTAAAAGGAGGAAATCGCCTCTCGTTTCCTCCTCGCCATTTTCCGACTTTTTTTTTGTTTTTTTTGCCAGCTGCCTGTTGTTTTTTTTTTTTACAAATTTTGGGTAGAGGAAATGAAAGCTTCAAGGATTTGAAAAGATTATCCAGAAGCCAGCCGGCACACCTGCGACAAGGACCTGAACCAACCGAGTAGCTGTTTTGAGCGAGCTTGGCACTTGCTCTTCCCAACGAGTTGCATTGGCTCTTTTTTAGCATTGGTTTGGAGGACGATTCTTTGCTTTTGTGAGAGCACAAATGCCTTGTTCTGCTCAAAGAAGTAGTCATTGAAGTATCAATTTTAATATAAATATCTGATTTGGCATCTTTCGTTGTTTAGGCGGATTCATGGCGACAACGGGAAGTACGAGCGGCGTTTTCTGTATATCAGAGATGGCGCGCCATAGACCAGTGGTTCTGAATCAACATGGTTCGTAAACCGGCAGAGGTGACAGAGGATCCCATCCGCAGTGGGTCTAGCACTTTTCGGTGTAGAGCGTTTTGCTGTAGGGCATTTCGGTGCGGACTTTTTGGTGCACAGACATTTCAGTGTACGGACTTTTTGCTGCAAAGACTTTTTGGTTTTGGACTTTTCGGTGAGCGGATATTTCGGTGCACGGACATTTTGATGCATGGACATTCGACGCTATGGTTTGCTCGCCAGTATCTCTTTTCCAACGTACGCAGACACGCTTCACATCGTGTTTGCGCGTTGAGTTGATAGAAATAGTCTCCTCTATAAGGTGTTGACATTATTATTGGTCCTGCATGTAGGAAACGACCCAAACAGCAAGACGTTTGAAGTTGTTTGTGTATTCAGAACAATTTTGAATATCTTTAAATGCGCCTTCTCCGCGTAATCGCATAGCTCCGATTGTTAATAATAAATTGTGATGACCTCGCACGACAAAAAAAATGCAAAAAACAATGTAATTATTACTTGTAACTCATTAGGGAATAAAGTAGGCGTGTGCGGGTGCAAAATAAGTGTAATCAAATCAAATATCGATTTGAATCAAGTAAACAAGCCGAATTTGGTGAATGCTAAATCTATTTTATTTGGTATCAAATATTTGCTCATTCTCGTACGAAAAAAAAACAAACAGTGACCACAGATCATACATAGAGTATGATCTGTGGTCAACGTCTCCTTCCATGCCGTAATGATGTCGCCGGACGTAAAGAACTGCCTTACAATCGTGCTTATACAGGGCGGTTTTTTTAACCACTAGACATTTTTCTAAAAAAGACGTCAGAGTTACGCAATTGCGGTTTGTGCCTTATCTATAGTCATCAAAAGCACCAAATCATTCATTTTTAAAGAGATGTAGTGGACGTGAAGTGGCTCACGGCGTCCTAAAAAGCCTAATTTGGACGCGAATCGTGTTAGCGCAATCTTTTCGGCCACCGCACTCCTCGCCCCTTCTACAGTGGCGTTGTCACAGCGATGCGCATGATTTGTCGCTTTAGCTTCATGGCGTTAGTCTGTGCCACGCGGAGATGGAGCCCACATAAAATCAGAACTATATTTTCGCGCCCAAATTAGGAGGACGCCGTATAATAGTGTATGCGCGTTACATCTTTTTAAGAATGGACGGTTTGGTGGCTTGCGATTATGGCCAACAACTTTCTAAATACAAGATGCCGTTTTCTTTTCTAATTAAAAGGTTAATTAGCGAATTTTAGGCAATCGGTCGGTTTTAGTTGCGTTCGTTATTGAACAATCCTCGCCTGGCCGTATAGCTCACCTACAAACCGCAATGGCGCTAATTTTCACTGGACAATTTGGTGGCTTTCGATTACGCCCAACAACTTTATAAATCAACTATCCCGTTTTCTTTTATAATCAAAACGTTTATTAACAAATGTTAGGTAATCAGTCGGTTTTTGTTGCGTTCTTTCTTGAACCCAATCTTCGCCTGGCCGTTTAGCTCACATCCACAAAACGTTAATTTCCACTTTTTTTTCTAATACCTAGTAGGTGAAAAAAAAAAAAACAACCGTTGTATATAAAATAGAGGGCAGTTCTTTTCTGATATAAATAAAGCGTGGGGCACGCGTCTTGCATGCATCTCTCTTTTTTTTTTCCGGCCTATGAAAGCAAATCCCGGGACATTCGAAATTGAGTTTATGATGGGGCGGGCGCTTTATCACGGGGTATTTTGTCATGTTTCATAAGCTTTATTACTAGTCAGAAGGAAGCCACGCGAGCCGCATCACGTTGCAAACAGCTAATTCGGGTGTTTCTCAAGCAGCTCTAGAACTTTCCAATTGACATTTTGGTTCTTAATACATCTAAAAAAGTTTGGTACTTAGTCCTAAACATTTAATTTATTAGGCATAATTAAAAATACTGCAACTCTCGCAAGACGTCTACCCAAAACATAAAGTTGGCTTCATTGGCGTAAAGTGGCTGCGTCTTTCATTTTTATGCTTGGTCTTTAAAGATTCGTGAAAAGCATTCGCGACCTTATCTGTCAAGGCGCGTACGCGGACAGCGCGGCCTCCTCGGCAAGTTGTTCCCTCATCGAAGACGACAATGAATAAAATGTGCGATAAAAATCTTAATGCCTGAAAAAAGCGCAAGTTTAAAATAATTCTAAGGGTGTCAGTTGATTTTATTTCTACTATATTCAAATTTCAACTTTTCAAATTTCAACATTGCACTTTTGGCGCAAACCAGTGCCCAGTCAACGGTTCTACACTCAAACACGCATCACCACCCGACCTGTTTGAAAAATAAATAATTTTCAGCACTTTTGGTAGAAAAGGCGAATTTTCTACTGAGTGTGATATTTTGTGGACCCAAAAGTCCTGTAGCCGGGATCGGTAGTTCATAGCTTCAGGAAGACGAAGAACGACGGATGCATTATTTCCCGCGGAAGTACTGTTTTGAATTTGAATTACATATAAAATTGTATATGCACAAATTGTGGCACGATAGCGAACTTGCTTGATTACTTTTCTTTTTGAAGACAACATAACCAGGCATAATCTACAGATATTGCAGAATTCATTTTAATTGGCATACAGCGCGAAAGACAAGTATGGACATAAAGAACACAATAGAGCTCTGCATCTCTACTGCATTTCTTTCCGTACTTGTGGACAGTTAGCCCACATGAATATATTCAAAAACTGCCAAATCGTTTAAGCCTACCCCTTTTTATAATTTTTTTCGTAATTGAATTGTGGCGAATCCCGGCTGGGTTCGGGTAAAGATCTCGCACGTGTTCAAGGACACATTTCGGCATGATTTCCCGCTTGGTGACGACGTTGAGCTGACCGCTGTTCCACTCCTTTTCTAAGTAGGCGGGGAATGCCAGACGCCTAAATTATCCAAGCAGCCCCAAAACTTGCGGTAGTACACCTTCCGAACCCCTGGGTTTTTTTGGAGATGGCCTTCGCCCACCCTGACAAAGCCCCAAACAATTATGTAAGGGCTGCAGAGGCTATCTGGGCATTCCGTTTCTTCATCAGCGAACAAATGCGAACAGAAGAGAATGAAAGCTTCGTAATACCTGCTGTCTTTTAATAAATGGCATAATATTGCTAGTGGCATAATATTGCTAGTTGCACTATTTTACGCGAAGAAAATTGTGATTTTGCGGTTCTATCTCCGTGTTTCCCGTTCTCTTTGCTGATACGCAAGATGTTTGTCGGGTGTCAAGTTTTCAGTTACATTTGTCGACAGAAACTAAATGCACGTTTGGCCACGAAGAAATTTTTTTCAAAGGCTGAAGATAGATGAAATATACCATAAACCGTTTCAGTTTTTATGGAAGTTTGTTTTTACTCTTCTTAGTAGCTTCAACGAGGCGGCCGTCACTCTAGAAAACACCTGTAGTACGAACCTATATATTATGCCCCAGAAATGGTCAGACTGGGTTTCTCTGACTGCAATATCTTTGACTTGTAATTACTTATGATTATTACTTTGTACAAAAAACAAAAACAAAAAACACAATAGTGATATAATTACTCTTCAGTGTGCCGTTTTTAGAACGACAAATTTTCAACTCTCTGGGTAGAGCTCAAAGTTCGGATAAAAATACCCATCTCTTTTCCTTCTGCTGTGATGTTCAAGTTCCGTTCACTCGAGATAAATATGCGGTGGTGTAGCGTGTGTGGCCGCATGCAAAAGTATCTGAATGTAAAAGAAATTGTTGTTGGGCTAGTTGGTGTTGACTATCTGAGTGTGTTTTAGAACTGCAGAAAAAGAGCAAAAAAAAAAAAGAAAAAAAGAAGAAAAGCGAGCCAGCCCGAACCCTTCCGAGCTCATATCCAGCCTGCCTAACTAATCCCTGGTTTTTGGGATTGAAGCAGAGAACCTTGAAGGGTTCCAGAGATTTTGTCGGGGGGCCAGTAAGCCCATTAGCACTCATGCGAGAAGGCCGTAAAAAGCGAGGAGGAAAATGGAGGAGGAAAGGGGAGGAGGAAAAAAGAAAAGAGGGGGAATCTTCTGCCACGCTGAAGAAAATTTTGAGCCCCCGCCTTTAAGAGTAATGGTGGCCTGCACGGCTGGTCTACATTGCGCTCGGGTAGCTCGAATTCCGGTTATTAGTGGCAGTTTCTGGTGGTTCAACAAGCGGTTTAAACTTTATAGTAGACATATTTTATGTGCCAGAATGCACCAAAGTGCTTGAAAGTTTGTTTTTCGTACGGAAAACTAAACTTTCAAACTTCGAATGTTTCTGTAAAATTTTGTTCAAGCGGAACAGCACAAGAAACAGTGTTCACTGTAGTGACAATTTTTATGCGTTGACTCCTATGGACTGTTGACGGGGAACTGAAAAATATTCGTTGAACCGGAAATTTCGTTGAAGTGGCGTTCGTTGAAGCTTGTTTCCACTGTAGTGACACGCAAAAAAATACCGCAACGCCAA